AATAGCCTATTACCGCACTGAGTTAAAGACACTATGCACAAAGAATTAAAACACATAAACCTAAGAAAGTATCAAAACTAAGTGTTTACAAAATAAGTAAATAAATATGTTGTATTTATACAGCTGTTAAAGATATGTCATACATTTTCTCAACACATTATCTAAGCTACAATATATTATCATATGACGAAAAAGCCAATGATAAAATAACACCTATACATGTTGTATAAAACTATATAAATCATATCAACGAGCCACGGTATTGATGTTTGATGAGACAACAAGTTTTCAATTTATGGCATTTTCAAAAAAGAAAATTTTACAATATTATAATTTGGTGCACACGAAAAAAATGAGTAATTTACACCAGCACAGTCTGTCGGAGCTATGCTAACTTCAACAACATCCTTTTAGCGAATTTCCCATATAGGGAATAAGCTATTACCGTAGTACTCATGGTAAGACCTGGACGCGGGACCGATTTTTTTTTCGTTTTGAGGTCCCTAGAGGCCAAAAACACCATCCGTTCAAATTCATATATATATATATATATATACAGGGTGATTGATATAAGTGTGCCAGCCGTTTTATTCGAAAACTATAAGAGATATCAAAAAAAGTTAAATGGTAAGTGCATTGGATTTTTTATTAAAAAAATTATAGTCGAGTCAAAAAAATTATTTTAGCCGCCATTTTTCCAATATGGCCGCCAACTTTGATTTTTCTTATGGAACACCCTGTATTTTATGATGTATTCTGGTAGAAAAAGTAATTTAAAGACGATTTTATTCCTGTGATTTTTTTCTTAAACCTAACCGTTTCAAAGATAATAATGGTTTAAGTTGTGAAATTTTGAATGGTTTTCGAGCAAAACAGCTGGCATGCTTGCTTAGGCCTTTATCGAAACTCTTTCTCATGCAGAAATTTCAAAACTTTAACCATTATTATCTTTAAAACGGTAAGGTTTATGAAAAAAATCACAAGAATAAAATCGTCTTAAAATTACTTTTTCTACCAGAATAAATCATAAAATACAGGGTGTTCCGTAAGAAAAACCAAAGTTAGCGGCCATATTGGAAAAATGGCGGCTAAAATATTTTTTTTTGTTTTTTAAATAAAAAATCCAAGGCACTTACCATTTAACTTTTTTTGATATCTCTTATAGTTTTCGAATAAAACGGCTGGCACACTTATATCAATCACCCTGTATATATATATATATATATATATATATATATATATATTAATAAATAATATGTAAAATAACATGAGTACCCTTTTTTTATATTCTTTTTTATTTAATAAATCACAACATGTTTCGTCTCTAAGGACATTTTCAAGTGTGTTAACCTAATTTCAAACAAAAATATTATGTTATGAATAAATACAGCTGTTAATTTTGTTAGTACCTATGTGAATGAATGTTTAGTTGTTGGTTTTTCTAACACTTATAATTTTGTTAAATATAGGATTAGTGGTTTGTGTGTGTACTATATTTAAAATGTTGTTTCTGTCTTCTTTGTAGTGTTTATATATGTGAAAATTTTCTTTTATGTTCATTTTGGTTCCTTTGTTAATAATGTCTAGTATGGTAATGTTTTCGTTATAATTTTTGTATGTATGGTCTGTAGAAAGTATGTGTTCTGCAAATGTAGATTTTTGTGTAGTTCTGTTGTTTGATTTAATTGCTTGAATATGTTCTTTGTATCTACTTTGAAAATTTCGTCCTGTTTGGCCAATATAGAATTTTGAGCAGGAACTGCAGTTTAATTTGTATATGCCTGATTTGTCTTTTATGTCTGATACGTTGTTGTTTGACTGTGAAAATTTGTTAATTAAATCAAATGAATTGTTTCTTGTTCTGTATGATAACTTATAATTTTGGTTGTTAAATGTTTTCCTATATGCTTTGTTAAATGTAGTTGAGTAAGGTAGGCATAAAAATTCATGTTTTCTTTCTTCTTTCTTGACATGTTGGTTTTTCATGCCTGCTTTTTTCTTTATCATTTTTTCTACGGTTTTGCTGCTGTATCCATGACTCTTTGCTAATTTTGTGATATGTTCCTTTTCTTCAATAAAGTCTTCGTTACTCATGGGAATGTTGATAAGTCTATCAATATACGAATGGAATGTTGCCATTTTGTGTTGCCAGGGATGATTTGAATTTGCTGGGATGATGAGATTGTTTTCAGTAGGCTTTCTAAAAATTTTAAATTTATGTAAGTTGTTAGTAAGTATAATATATATATATATGTGTCCGTCAGCACGATAACTCGAGCAAAAATGATCCGATTTTGATGAAATTTGGTACAAACGTGTAAACGTACGTTTATTCGAACGAGTTCGCGATCCAGCATGATCGGACCATGGGAACGGGTGTTTACGGGGGGTTTTATGGGGTAAAAATAGGTTTTTCCCATTTTTGACCCAAAAAACATAAAATTTAGCAATTTATTTCCAAACCATTTTGTAGAGCTTCAAAAAACAAATAATTTAGTATATTGAAGCGTTATTATGCGCCTAATGGTTACGGAGAAAATTCCAAAAAATTGTAAATTTAAAATTCCCATGTTATTCTTATGGAGAATGAGTAAACTGTTGTAGTTTGCTTGTTTATGAACATATTTTGATAAAATTTGGAAAATGTTTTATTTCTTACTAACTATTAACATTTTACAAAAAAAAAAAAACAGTTTTACCCTCCCTGATGCAGCAAACCTAAGTACTTGTTAAACTAATTCTATTTAAATCGGGAATAAATGTTATATTTTTAAGTAGACATTTCAGTGTAAATCCAATCAGTCAAATGGAAATTCGCTTAGTCTGCAGGTTTGCTGCGGCGGGGGTATTTTATCCTAAACTTAGTTACGGCTTTAAAATGGGAACAGGATGGTTCTTTTATTAATAACCATAAAAATACATCTCAGACTCAGACAACCCTTTCTATTTGAATGTTAAAATTTTCTCTATTTACGTACTGCATAATCTGTAAAAACAGGATTCAGAGCACATTGACAAGCGGAGCAAGTGAATCAATAGACGCGGTAATCCTGACTTGGAAGATGCTTGGAGAGGTTCCAAAGTCCAGCGGAAGTGTTGAGGAACACTGCCACTTGGACACGGTTACTCGGACAGATATAGAGCACAATACTGTCACACCATACATAGATTACTAAAGCTTTGGTTCTTGAACACTGTTCTGTGAAGAAGATGTAGTCATACAAGTAGTCATGATGAACACTGCCACTTGGACACGGTTACTCGGACAGATATAGAGCACAATACTGTCACACCATAGACACAGATTACGAAAGCTTTGGTTCTTGAACACTGTTCTGTGAAGACGATGAATTCATACAAGTACTAGTCATGAGGAACACTGCAACTTGGAAACGGTTTCTCGTACAGATATAGATCATAATACTGTCACACCATAGACACAGATTACGAAAGCTTTGGTTCTTGTACACTGTTCTGTGAAGACGATGTAATCATACAAGTATATTATATATGTATATATTATATATAGTATTATATATAGTAGTCATGAGGAACACTGCCACTTGGGCACGGTTTCACGGACAGATATAGAGCACAATACTGTCACACCATAGACAGAGATTACGAAAGCTTTGGTTCTTGAACACTGTTCTGTGGTGAAGACGATGTAATGATACAAGTAGTCATGAGGAACACTGTCACTTGGACACGGTTACTCGGACGGATATAGAGCACAATAATGTCACACCATAGACACAGATTACGAAAGCTTTGGTTCTTGAACACTGTTCTGTAAAGACGATTTAATCATACAAGTAGTCATGAGGAACACTGCCACTTGGACACGGTTACTCAGACGGATATAGAGCACAATAATGTCACACCATAGACACAGATTACGAAAACTTTGGTTCTTGAACACTGTTCTGTAAAGACGATTTAATCATACAAGTAGTCATGAGGAACGCTGCCACTTGGACACGGTTACTCGGACAGATATAGAGCACAATACTGTCACACCATAGACACAGATTACGAAAGCTTTGGTTCTTGAGCACTGTTCTGTGAAGACGATGTAATCATACAAGTAGTCATGAGGAACGCTGCCACTTGGACACGGTTACTCGGACAGATATAGAGCACAATACTGTCACACCATAGACACAGATTTAAAGCTTTGGTTCTTGAACACTGTTCTGTAACAAATACACAGTATGCGATCATAGAAGACCAGCCATGAGCTAATGACACTCCACCAGTTCTTGGTCTTTATCTTTGCTTTTAACTACAATTTTTAAGTACAGTTATTCGTATAATCATGTTAAAAGGTACAGATTGTAAATTCCTAAAGTGGACATAAATGTATCAACAACAAAAGATTTATCATACGACTTGGTGTACGTATCTAAATGCGTCATTCTGTCATTAGGCAATAGATGTTGATAAAGTATCCCCTGTTGTAACAAAGATTACCCACACGCTGTGAGTATTGAGTTCTGAGTAAGTGAGTAGCACTGGTAGTAGGGGCAAGAGACTGCAGTAGCACAGGTCACATACTACGTTGACGGAAGTGTACGGTACGTTGAACCGTAATGTGTGCTACGTATGTTTCCGCTTGTGTATAGCGAATCAAGCTTATCTTTGAGTTCAACCAGTCACTAGCTGGAGTTCTTTTGTAAACCTCACAGAAATCTAAATATCCGCAAACTAACCATGGTTTTCTTCTGTTTGTTGTGATAAAATAATAATTAATTGTTACTTGTAACTGATCGACTCCCTTTGCCATTTTCCTAACGTAAGTCTATCGTGTCTTGCTTCAAGAGGATCGAGACGAGGTGAAAATACGACTCTATTCTACACTATTGTAGTCTTCGCCTGTTAATTTGTAGATCGTAAAAAAAATTGTGGAGTCGATAAAATGTTAAAATGGTATACAGTACATTATATTATATTATTATATTATTTGTGTCATGTTGCTCTATCGTTGTTGTTGTGTGCAGGATGGGGACGAGGAGTTGGAGCGTCTGCTCCTATTGGCTCCTGTACTCCGCAGTATGTGTACTCGCTCGTCCGTCCAGGGACCTTTTACTGTCAGGTAGGTTTCTAATGCTTTTTTATAGGTATACATTTTTGTCTACTAAAACATACATGCACATGGTAATTCTTATTCTATTTGCAACGAAAACTATAATAAAATAACTTTTAGTGAATAAACTACCAACGCCAAAGCGTAATTTAATAAAAAATAATTGTACTCATCCAATTATTAACTTATGATTCTCGAGAGTATTTAGTACTAGCAGAGTACCCGTCCTTCGTACGGGGTTGGAATATACGTATAAAATGCTTATTGCAGTTATACTCAAGCTTTGCGTTTGCAATAAGGAAGGACACAGTTTGATAAAATTTGCTTTTTTTAAATTTACAGTATTCTATAGTATTACACTTCTACCATAGCCATAATGTACTACCACTTCACCTAAACAATAGAGAAAAATAGATTATCAACAATTCGCAAAATATCACAAATTATTCATGAAATGAAAAACATTAACATCACTGTAAACAATCCTACTTTGACAGTTTTCATTGCGAATCACAATTTTTTGTTGCTGCTTAGTTCAAATTAGCTGTTTTCATAAATGCAAAAAAAAAATATAGTGCTGCACCCTGTTGGCAAATCTTATAACTTTTTAATGCTTTTCCATATCATTGAACCAACTTTTTTAGTTGAAACCGCTGACTAAATTCTTTAATTCCCTTTAAATATGAATACTCATAAGGTTAACATGGGGAATTACAGAGCCACTGGGGCGGAGCCCGAAAGGATTTTTGAGATACGAATATGCCTATATGTTAATCGGGAATGTAAGCTATCATCATGCCAAATTTCAGCCCAATCCGTCCAGTGGTTTATGCGTGATTGAACTTCAAACAAACAAACAAACAAACAAACAAACAAACAAACAAACAAACAAACTTTCACATTTATAATATTAGTAAGATTATCTACACAACTAACTGTATGGATTCTGAGTCGGCTAATAGCCAATCTTATGCTTAAGTGATATGATTGTTTTAAGACAACCGTAGTGCCCGTAGTTGGCTAGACGAGACAACTGTGTCATTGACATTTGTAGAGTCGTAAGTGTTGATAGTGAGGTTTGATGTGTTATGTGGTCTGGACGGATTGTGAATGCAAGGAAGTGCTCCATGGAGGGAGGATGCGACGACGTGGGTCGCATATCAGCCTCCGCGTTCGTGACAGCGACACTACCATGTATGCGAACGTTGAGTAGATGCTGCAGACGCGTTACCAACTGATATCTACTGGCTACTGAAGATGTATCTCAACTGTGTTGATACAATATCACCAACCACTAACTGTAAATATCACCAAGTGTCATTGTTCTTTTGATGTGTTTGGTTGTCAGTGTTGTTGAATGATTGATTAGAGAAAAGTTATCCACTAGCTATACTGGAGGTATCTCTCAGAGTTATTAATTGACCATTGACCGAAGATATAACTTAGTGGCTTTTTGATATTGGTAGAACTATTGTTAAGAAAATTAAATTAAATTAATATTCAACAATTAACATAAAGGTGGGATTTCTTCGCTATATTCAACCACATAGAAATTTTTGTAAAAACGCCTATGAGAGTTAGAAAGTATCCATAAATTCCTAACACTAACATACATTTATTACGAGTAGGAGAAACGTAGTAATTACAAAATATTTGTATACTTGTGTAATTAAGGCATTTTGTACAGGCGATGTTGCAGTAGTGTTTCTTAGGTCCGCAGTGAAATATCTATGTTAGTTGTGATAGAAAGCAGAATTCCTTTCTGTTGGCTTATTGTTTTAGTTTTGAAATTCCAAACGGTTTTTGAAACTAAAGCTTTCTACCAGATGTGAGGTCCCGCCTTGCGTTTGTGCCCTGGGGCTGACCCCGGCAACAAAAACTCGGCTTTGTAACCCATTTGTAGGTCGTTACAATCACTTAGGCCACGGAAGCGACTCGTTCCCGATAACGTGAACGCTTCTGACACTCCATAACTCCTAATCATTACGACATGAGGTCTTATTGGTTGTGAGGTTTTACATTACTTTATAAATTTAATTTTTTAACCTGAAACAATTTAAACGATATTTTAAAACTTTAATTGAAGGATTTATCTTGTTTGGTTGCCATCTAGTCACGACATGGATGTACACATGTTAAAAGGGTTAAATTAATTTAAATACAAGAATTTGGAAATATGGGCTTTAACATTCGTGTTTTAGCGAATTTCCCATACGGGGAATAAGCTATTACCGTAGGTCTCATGGGAAGACCTAGACCCGGGACCGATTTACTTTTTCGTTTTGAAGTCCCTAGAGGCCAAAAATGCCATCCGTTCAAATTCATATCGAGTTATCAAAGCGATAACTCGAGCAAAAAATATCCGATTTTAATGAAATTTGGTACATAGCCTACGTGTAAATCTACGTTTATTCGAACAAGTTCGCGGACCAGCATAATCAGACTATGGGGACGGGGGTTTATGGGGTGTTTTATGGGATAAAAATTCATGTTTCCCATTTTTGACCCTAAAAACGCAAATTTCATGATTTATCTTCAAACTATTCTGTAGAGCTTAAAAAAGATTTGTACGACCAGAAAAATAAAAGCTGCCACTTGATATGTTGTTCTGTATTATTAAAACAAAGTATTTTAATGAAATAATCTCATGTGCACACATTTTACCATAAACTATTAGACAATTAGCAAACCTCATCAAAACGTAGCTGCATATCTTGATGAAAGTAATGTATATTTAAAATGCAGGTAAAAAATACGAAATAAGTTTACACAATCCATAGATGACCTTCGTTTCTCGATCCCATCAGTTTTTATCTGCGAGGGACGGCCTTGACTTTTGACTTATGGATTTGGGGGCTTGACGAATTTGGTATTTAAATGTGACCCGCCCAGCGGAAACAATAGCCCCCGGGCCCAAAACGATCTTTAGGCTATAACAATATAAGCCTTTCCTAAACTCAAAAAAGGGTTGTCATAAGTTATTGTTGTTTTTATATTCTTTCAAAACTGAGAGTCATGGGTCAGGCTTTGAGGTTTAGAGAAACGTGCTGTTTAATACTATAACGCAATGCTTGTGAGTTGTATGGTAGAATAGTGTAGGCTACCAAGTAAATGTTGTTTATTTACTTCAAACATTAACTAAATCAAATACTTTACTCTTCTAGGATCTGAAGCATAATGAATATTTTTATAATGGTTTTTGTCGTCAGAAAATTGAATCAGACAGTTACAGAGTATTACTAATTGTGGGGAGTTAGCAAGACCAATATCGGAGTGCGGGGCTTCGGTCTCCGAGGTCTAGGGTTCAAAAAATCTCGGGAATTATACTGATCGCTTTTAGCTATGTTCTGCAGCTATGAAATTTTGTCACGCATTATTTTTAAGGTACCAAAGGTTTAATGGTCTTAAGTATAGTAAAGATGCCCTGATTAAAGTGAAATAAAATCGGCTTTGTTAAAAATCTAAGTCTTCGCTCATTAAACAACCAGCCTACTCAACATTACGGAATGTTTTTCTCGAGATCACATATAATGCCTTCTAGTAGGATTTTAATGGACTGCTGTAAGCTCTAATCATTCTATTTACATCACAAGCTATATATATAATATCATAAGCTACTATATAGTATATATATATATATATATATTATATATATATACTACGAGTTAATATATAATGCTATATATAGCTACCACAGAGTTTATAATAGGTTATGTTCCTCCGTCCTACTGCTCAATATACCATTTTTCCAGCTGTGATAATTCGTTATCACAAAATTTAATAAAACTGAACATGTTTAAATCGCATATAGCCATCGCAGGCGCAGTCAGGCAGTCGGGGCCGATGAGTGACGGATGGCTCTATTTATACAGTGATTCGCGACCACATGGCCCGGCGAGGCTATTCCGAGCGATCAAAAATCGCAAATCTTCTCTCCTCTCTCTTGCACCTCTGGTCTTTATACCACGGGTCCATGACCAGTCTTTCTTTGTGAACATCCAAAATCGGTTCTTTCAATGGTTCTGTGCGATTCATCAACCTCCAATATTTATTCATACCAATATTTGTAGTTTCAAACTTTGTGGTCAGATGTTCGACGGGACGACTTACAAGTAAACAAAAGTGACAAAATAAAACGTCGTTTCTGTATTGAAATAGTCTACAATACAGTTAATTACAATTTAATTCCTATTCCATAATTTCTTTGCTTTGTATGTTTAATTTTTCATTGCATGTGTGTGTTTGCAAGTACGTAGTAAGGTTGTAGCATATTATGATTGTGCCAGACAGAGCCTTCATTCGCACAACGCAATATTGCTACAGGCTGGCAGTGTAGCTCGACAACTCGGTAGCTATATTGCGTGATACGACAAACAGGCGCATGACTCTGCGTTCTCGCGGAAATGGAGTACTACTAATCTTTTATATTGATTGTCTTGAGTAGTAAGGGAAAATCACATTTGTAGTCATAATTCAATTGCAGTTTAACTACGTCGTATTTATTGTAAACAGATAACTAGTATTTAATCGTTCTCAGTGTTGTTTGGTTTGCTTTTCATTCCCATATCGTGATTAACACAGTCTTTGGGCGGTGAATGTCCTCTAAATTGAAACCTTAACCCTCGATAACAAGGTTCCTTTATAAAAAGTGTCATTTTCGAATCCCTTAGAATTTGTCTTACCCATAATTTATTTTGTTGCAAACCTCAATACGATGAGAACCGTGATAACAATAATCCCCATAAGTCTTATCATAGACGTCCCACTGTATTAATTTGTTTACAAGAATACTATTAGCTGTATTATAATTCACAGTTTGAGTTGGATTTTGGATTGGTATAGCAATTTTTTTATTTTATTTTTTTTTCTAGGACGCTAGGCGCATGCCCAGAATTTTTTTTTAACATTACCGGTACTTCAGGGGTTGCGGCATTATCAAATAGATAGAATCCATTGGTCATTTGGCGGGATTTGAACCCAGGACCTCTGGAACCGAAGTCCCGCGCTCTAAGCACTAGACCAGCTCACTCCCCCATGTATTGGTCTAGCAATACGTCAAGTCAATATTATTCTACAACAAATTCGTACTCATATATGTAGAGAATCGAGATACCTTTAGGTACGGTATGCGAACGAACATATAGTATAGTCGTTACTTTACTATATAGACCTTTTTACTATATAGTACCGTCCAAATTGACAATTCAATCTCAATCTGGGTCGTTTCTTGGCCCAAATGCCGTTTGCCATTGGTCCATCAATTAGTGCTATCGAACCGGTCGACGTTAGAAAAGAACAAGACCTCGGTTTGGACGTGCACTTAGAAAAAACGAAACGGCAATAGAGTCTAAAAACAGAAGTAAAAGAGATTATGAGGTCCGGCTGTAGGAAGCGGCAGCCAAGTTGGATTGTCTCTCAACAGAGACAGTTTCACAGCCAGTGAGGTCACGTGACCCGACAACTGACGGGTCGCTAGATGTGGACGTCAGCTAAATATAATGACGTGGAGACCTAATGAGTCCCAGATACCTACTGTATGTCCTGCGTGTGCGTGTGTGTGTGTGTGCGTGTGTGTGCGTCAGTGCAAGGTAATGAATGTCATCCCCCCATTGATCGCCAGACACAAGGCCCATTGTTTCCCTGGTTAATGGTTTCACTATTATATTCTCAGTTTGGCTCCCAACACAAGAACTGATTCCAACTCATTAAACTTCTAAACTGGAGACATACGAGCGACAAATGCAAGGCGTGATAATATTGAAAACATTTATTTTTCAAACGTGTAACGAACTGTATGAATACTTTAATGAACTATTGTTTGTTAAAGGCTGTGAGGGTTTCCATGTTTTCTCCATGACACTTCGTTATTTTGCCTATTTTATTGTTTTGGTCAACCATCTTAAATACAAAGCATTTGTTTGTGTATAACAAATGTTAACTCTTGGATTGCAATGGTTAATGGTTCTATGCTAAAGAGCTGATCAATGTATATTTCCCCCTTTCATCATTTACACTGCTTGCCAAAAAGTACAACCTAATATTAGAAAGTTAACTAGTAAGCCTTAAAACATTACTCTTAAAAACAAACATATCTCTTCGCATACCGTAATGTTGGATATGTATCCAAGCAAAGGGATCTGTTGAATCTCTTTCTGCAGCAATTATCATCATATCATTATCAATTAAGATGGGGACATCAATGATATTAGCGGGGACGTATACGTGATATGTATATGTATGCAATATGATTATAAATAAAGTTTAGGGGACCTTTCTCAGCAAAAGCCTTTTAAGGACCTCTATTAACTAAATGGCAATACACCATAATCACCTTTTAATCTAAGTAAACTTTACCTATGTAAAAACTAAATAAAATTTTACGATTGTTTAAAGGAATACCGTTGGTAATACATTTCGGCTGCTGGTAGATTGTGCTGCTCCTTGTAATGACTTGTTTGTTTTCTTCAGAAGGAGTGACCAGCCACACAGCAGAGGTAGGACAGCATCTGCTGGTAGATTGTGCTGCACCTTCAAATGACCTGTTTGTTTTCTATAGAAGGAATAACCAGCCACACAGCAGATGTAGGAAGGCGGCTGCTGGTAGATTGTGCTGCTCCTTCTAATGACCTGTTTGTTTTCTACAGAAGGAGTGACCAGCCACACAGCAGATGTAGGAAGGCGGCTGCTGGTAGATTGTGCTGCTCCTTCTAATGACCTGTTTGTTTTCTACAGAAGGAGTGACCAGCCACACAGCAGATGTAGGACGGCGGCTGCTGGTAGATTGTGCTGCTCCTTCTAATGGCGCTGTCACATGGTTCAAGGATGGAAATGTCTTGGATGCATCACCAAGAATTAGTGTGTCACTAGGAAAACTGAGGTAAGTAATTAAGTCTTCTTACATTCTCCTTACGTCTGACTGACTCTGATGTTATTGTGTAGATTCTCTGATTTTAAAAGTAATCGAATAACCTACTACTTACAAATTTTTTAATTAAATGATTACACTTGGTGTAAGTACCATGGTAAGTACCTTACCAATAATGTTTTATTTTAGTTTATGTATTTAAAAATAAACACAAACTATAATAAAATACTATATGCACTATTATTATGAATATTCTGTTTTAGGGGTTATTAGATAAGATAATAATGCTTAAAATTAAATATTTAAAATACTAACCATATTGTTTCTATACCGGTATTTTTCGACTATGATAAAATCACTAAAATATCTGTAGATGGATATTGAAACAACCTTTTCCTACAGTCTACAGTCACCCGACAACGTTGGCTTCCTTGTACTGTTTATAGTACAGAAAGCTGCTAATTGCTGCATATTTATACTTTGCCGTACGGTTTATACTTTGCCGCACATCAGGATTCCAACGAAACAACACAAAACAGCGTGGTTCCATTATGCACGTAATCCGTGTACGCTTGGAAATAGGTTGGCAACACTTAAAGATAATTATACTATGAGCAGCTGATTGACTATTATAACTACGATTTAACCTGTCATTTCGTGTTTATAGTTTCGGTATTTCTGAACTTTCTGGACTTTTCTTTTAAACGTTTTAAAACCTTCCTACGATCTTAATAAACAAGAAAATACCTTTTAAGCATTTCTTTTAGGCGCGGAAACCACTTCAAATTACAAAAACATACGGAACTATATTCTCAAAACGCGGAGCACATTTCTTGCCGAGGAAAAATAGCGGAGTGATATGGACCGCGGGTACTACTTTCTCTAGGGCACCATTTGTGTTGCCAGCTGAACCTAAAAACGTGTTGCATAGTGTTTGAAAGACTAATTATTTATATGCTTTATAGTGACTGTAGGAAAAATATAATGTGTAACACGAGTGAAAAAGGCCTTTGCTGCACTCGAGATCATTCCACACTCGCCTGCGGCTCGTGCGTAAACATTGCTCTCGTGTGCAGCAAAGTGCCACTTTCACCACTAGTTACACAAATAACTATTCTTTAAACTCAATGATATTTTCATTTATCAATATAACTAACAGGTCTGTCTACAAGGTGTGAATTAATTTGTTGTCCACTCCTTTAATCTAGGCTATGATGAGGGGTGGTTGTAACATAGATAAAAAATGAGATAGTCAGATTAGCTTTGGATTTGGAGGCGATGTAATTTTGATTACCAAATAATAAGAGTTTTATAGATGGGTGTCACAATAAAAATCTTTTTTAAGATAATACACTAAATCCTTATATAATACATGAAGGTTATTTCTACAAAACACTCCTTCGTTAATAATGGACAGATTTTTACAAACAATGTGTGAAAATTAAGTATTTTTTGTGTAGACGCCCCCTTACACCAATTCCTGTAATAAAAGTCCTCGGACTTTGCCCCTCAGGTCATCAAAATCCCAATGTATTTCTTATGAAGAAAAGATTTTGTTTACATAATCAGACGAGTATTTTGTATTAATTACAGCTGTTCATAGTAAACACATGATACACACAAGAGCCTTCGTTTTTAGAGTGAGTTCGTTTTCAGTTTTGATAACTGGAGTAGAGTGATTCATTTCATTATCTTTAAGTTTACTCTTTTAAGTCATCGGAAATTATGACTGTTATTCGTTTTGAAATTGTAATGCTTTGCAATTGCTAGAATTTGAGCAACAAGTGCACTAGTGCGTTATTATTACTTTAGCATAGGTAAAAACTTCTGTTAGTTTTCTATAGTTAGTGTGATATTTCAATGGAGCAGCAAGACCTGTGGTAGACAGTAGACAGTTGGTATGTTGAGACTAATTGCTGGAGGGACATTTTGTTATAAATGGCTCAGTTCCTTCAGCTTGCCACTACAGTAATTGGTGTGAGGCCTGTGCCATACTTCAACTTGCAGCCTGTTTGTCTTCCCTTCCTAAACAATTGTGGGAAATAAACAATATTTGTAAACACAAATAACTTCTAATAACATTTGAGTTTCAGGCAGTCACTTGTTGACTTGTTGAGACAATTTGTTTGGAAAGAAGTTGGAAAGAAGTTTGTGGCCTTTTTTTAACTTTGTACTTCCCGTCCATATATAGACCTCAGGCCAGTGCGTAGACCATCTAGCAAAGCAAAGGATGAGCCAGGACAGTACAAGAGTAAACTGTACTGATAAACAGTGGTGGCATGTACTTGTACTAGAACTAGGATCTTAACCCAAGACATCCAAGTGCCTTAGGTCCAAAGTATGTGTCGCTTCCCAGTTAAAGGCTCACCAGTTGAATCCTCTCCTATAATGTGCACCTTCAAGGAAGATGGTCTCTATAGATTACAGAAAATTCCCTCCTACAGATAAAGCTGCTTTATAGCTGTTATCTTGATTAGTCATCCATTTTTATAGCTAAACACTTTCAAATTATAAGAAAATATAAGAGGGGAAATGGTATTTTGTTTAGATTTTGCTAGCTGGAGACGGTTTCCCTAGGGAGTAAAAAGCCTTTTGAGTCCTAAGGGAGAAATGTCAGCTATTGTAATATTTGATTGTAGGCCTAAGCAATAACATGTATCAAAATTATAATTTGATTGATTGATTTAATTGGTTGTAGCTTGATGTTACATTTCTTGACAATAGTTAATCATATCGATAGTATGTAGAATATACAATCGTAATAGACGAAATGTTCGAATCACTTACTAAACAGCTGCTTATTTGCATTAGCAAAATTAAAAACAAGCTGGAAGTTGTTTTGAGAGCCTATCTTTACTTTAAAAGTATTTTCGTTTCCTACCTTATTAGTTTTGTTCAATGATATAGCAATATGACAAAAAATATAGTTCATCACGGACAAAAAGTTAGTGTCTTTTCAACCCTCGCTCATTTTCCGACTGAGGCTTGGCTTCACCTCAGTCGTGAAACATGAGCTCGGATCAAAAAGAGACACTTTTACACCCTAAAATAGGTACTTTTGAAATACTTTTGATGAAATATACTTTTGTGCATTTTATTTTTATGACATACATCAGTGGCTTCACTTTTATAATATAAAATATCCTTTGACAAGAACAACTAATTGTCTCTATTGGTAATCTACCTTCACTTAAACCCACCAGACAATTAATTTTACATGCTGATAAGAACTTTATAGGTGCCATTGAATGAATATTTACCTGTAATTACTATTTATATATTCAGCAATCCCAAGGTACCCATATAATTTAGTGTCAGGTACACTTTAAAACTTTATAATGATACTGATATGACGTGCTGCTGCAGAGTAGTTGAAGATGAGCAGAATTAGCACCTGCTTGCTGGTCCCAGACCTTTGATCTATTCTGGTCAGAACCAGACAAATGCCTTGTGTTCCCTGCTAACCAAACAATAACACTGTCTAGCTTCACTATCTACTCTAATTCTCTCAGTTATTTTGATTTTCAATCATAATATTTGCCCTTTATCACCCAATGTTTCGAAAATCTCACCAACTCACAGTGGTGTAAGGTTTTGTGAATATCTTTCATAGGAGGCTCATTTATTTGATAAGGAGTTTTGAAAATTACAATTAGATCTTTAAAAAAGGAAGCTAATCGTTAACTAAATGAAATGTAAAATATTCCTCTCAAGATATTTGTGTTTTGATGACCTAAAAAAATACTCCCACTCTATGTGTCCATTTAATCCTTTTAAAATCTATTTATGTACAATGTTATATAAAAAGTGCAAATAATACCAGTACGACACTAGGCAGCAGTGACCGAGAAATTAGATGATTCCGGCTAATATAATAGCTTGTCTTATTCAGTAACAAAACAAGCACCTATGTGGTGTCCTCAGCCTCATCCCATCTCATTTGATAGTGATAATTATAATGATAATAATAATGATAATAGCAGCAGCCGCTTATCATCAAAGAATTGGCTTTGCCCATTTCCCAACTTTCTTGCCCACAAACAACCTCTGAGTCGATAGGGGGTGTGGTAGTCAAAATAGTTCCTGGGGACAGAATAAGTAAATTAATCACTGTATGTGGTCAGTGTCTTCTGAGAAGTGTTGGGTGGAGTACAAACAAACAAAAATAAATATGTACATACGTTTCAATAATGAACTGATTATAACCTTTGACTACAACTAACATTTTTGTCATAATCTTTTACTCTACTACTTACAACTAAAATAAAAATTTGTTCATTTCAATAAAAAACTAAAAAAAACTGTTTTAAGCAAATTGTTTAAGTTTTTAATGACAATTTTTTTCTCTCTAAAACTCTGCCTTATGTTCTATGGACTCTCTGTATTTCTGGTACCGGTACAATCTTAGATTCACACGTTCAGTTTCTCTACATGTCATCTAAGGTATCTCTGTTGTGTAGGCTGAAGATCCGCAACGTATCTCCCAAGGACCGAGGAGAGTACAGCTGTCAGTACCGAGACCCTGGTGGTGAGATGCGCTGGTATAACATGAGTCTGTCCGTGGTGCAGCATGAGGAGGGGGAGGATGAAGGAGCCAAGCAACCTCTGCCGATCCTCAGCAGCAAGCGGGACTTTGACGACGACGGTCTCAACCAGCTGAGCCTCGGAGACGACAGTGGCCGAGCCCCTAGCTTCACAAACCAGGCTGCTATGCACAACATGGTCGCCACCTTGCTAGGACAGAACTACACCCTGACTTGCGCCTCTGATGGTATGAATTGTTAAAAGTAATGTAGGCTATTTCCAATCCAATACCCATTGAACCTAAAGGTTTTTAGGTGTAGTAATAAAAAAAAAACAATTTTTGGGGTTTGTAATTATTGTAGGAATGAGGGTAAAACCATTTTAGTAAATTCATATCTTTACAATACAAATACATTTTAATTACAACACCTACCCATCTTCAACAAGCTCTCTTCATCTTAAGGAAAAATGAGGAGAGCTTGTTGAAGATGGTACCAAGGGGAGATCCGAGGGGAAGGAGACCAGTAGGAAGACGAAAGGTCAGGGGGTGGGATCAAGTTCAGAAAGATACAATGAGACTAGTAGAGGAAGATTCGAAGGACCGAGAAAACTGGTGACAACGTGTTGGCGAGGCCAAGTAACAGCTTGGATACAAATTGTCCATGGCAGTAAGTATATAATTACAATTCATTTTAAGAAATAAAACAAAACTGTAATCCATTTGGATTGATCAAGAAGTAAGTAAATGCAATAACTTATAACTCAATTCCTGCTATAAATTTCACATCATACATTCAGTGAGTTTAGAGTAGAAGTAATTTACAGCATTGTTAGTTTTTGATGTGAATAGAGGAGCTTTCTATGACTGTTCTTTGCAATATTTGTTTAAGTGATGGTGTAACATGTAGCAGCAGTGTTGACGTTAAGTAAACACATGTGCTTACAGGTACGCCTGAACCAGATACAGTGTGGTTCAAGAACGGACGTCAGTTGCCAGTCACTTCTTGGGACATGACAGTACATGTAATGGAGTCAGCCAACTACACATGTATCGTCAGTAACCCCCTCGGAACTATCAGCCACACCGTGCAGCTACAGGCCTACAGTCAGTAAACATTCTCAATCTCAAGTAGTATAGAATACGGTACCCTATTGTTTTAGATAGGGTCTATAAAAACTTTTCAGTAATACGAAAAATATTTTATACAATTAAATCAAAGAATATTGCTTCTTCCTAATATGAAGAAACCATAATTGTAGAAGAGGTTTTGAGATAGTCAATATAACTGACTACCCCTTATATATAATATATGAAGGAGATTTCTAGGAAACACTACTCCTCCGTTAATAATGGACAGATTTTTACAAACGATGTGTCAAAATTAAGTATTTTTTGTGTAGATACCCCCTTTCATCCATTCCTGTAATAAAAGTCCTCAGGCTTTGACCCACAGGGCATCAAAATCCTTATGTATTTCTTATGAAGAAAAGATTTGTTTACTAAAACAGACGAATTATTTGTGTTAATCACAGCTGATCAGATAGTAAACACATGATACACACAAGAGCTTTCGTGTTTAGAGTGAGTTCGTTTCCAGTTTCGATAAGCACACGACAGTTTCGATAAGGAGTAGTGTTTCGAGTGGAGCAAGGGGTTACATAATCTTTGAGTTGACTCTTTTAAGTCATCGGAAATTGCGAGAGTTATTGATTTTGAACGCCCGTAATACTTTGCAATTGCTCAAATTCGAGCAACAGTTGCACTAGTATAACTCTATTCTAATAAAAAAACTTGTTCAGTACTATTAAAGTTAAATAATAATTATTGTGATGAGGGTTAAGCACAGTTTATAGTAAGGATATTCCTCATTTTTGTTTAGGAGACAAGAAAGATATGCCAATCATCGTGGAGACACCAAGCAACATAACAATGAGTGTGGGAGAGTCTACTTGGCTGATCTGTAAAGTGTCCAACATGGAGGAGAGTAAGATAGTGTGGCTCAAACATGACAACACTCACCCTTCCAGGCTCAACACTAGTGATCCCAACCTCAGATATATTGTAAGTAGTTGTGTAATGTACCTGGAGATGTAACAATCAGTTAGTGTGGCTCAAACATGACAACACTCACACTTCCAGGCTCAACACTAGTGATCCCAACCTCAGATATATTGAAAGTAGTTGTGTAATGTACCTGGAGATGTAACAATCAGTTAGTGTGGCTCAAACATGACAACACTCACACTTCCAGGCTCAACACTAGTGATCCCAACCTCAGATATATTGAAAGTAGTTGTGTAATGTACCTGGAGATGTAACAATCAGTTAGTGTGACTCAAACATGACAACACTCACACTTCAAGGCTCAACACTAGTGATCCCAACCTCAGATATATTGAAAGTAGTTGTGTAATGTACCTGGAGATGTAACAATCAGTTAGTGTGGCTCAAACATGACAACACTCACACTTCCAGGCTCAACACTAGTGATCCCAACCTCAGATATATTGAAAGTAGTTGTGTAATGTACCTGGAGATGTAACAATCAGTTAGTGTGGCTCAAACATGACAACACTCACACTTCCAGGCTCAACACTAGTGATCCCAACCTCAGATATATTGTAAGTAGTTGTGTAATGTACCTGGAGATGTAACAATCAGTTAGTGTGGCTCAAACATGACAACACTCACACTTCCAGGCTCAACACTAGTGATCCCAACCTCAGATATATTGAAAGTAGTTGTGTAATGTACCTGGAGATGTAACAATCAGTTAGTGTGGCTCAAACATGACAACACTCACACTTCCAGGCTCAACACTAGTGATCCCAACCTCAGATATATTGAAAGTAGTTGTGTAATGTACCTGGAGATGTAACAATCAGTTAGTGTGGCTCAAACATGACAACACTCACACTTCCAGGCTCAACACTAGTGATCCCAACCTCAGATATATTGAAAGTAGTTGTGTAATGAACCTGGAGATGTAACAATCAGTTAGTGTGGCTCAAACATGACAACACTCACACTTCCAGGCTCAACACTAGTGATCCCAACCTCAGATATTGAAAGTAGCTGTGTAATGTACCTGGAGATGTAACAATCAGTTAGTGTGACTCAAAAATGATAACACTCGCCCTTCCAGGCTCAACACTAGTGATCTCAACATCAGATATATTGTAAGTAGTTGTGTAATGTACCTGGAGATGTAACAATCAGTTAGTGTGGCTCAAACATGACAACACTCACACTTCCAGGCTCAACACTAGTGATCTCAACATCAGATATATTGTAAGTAGTTGTGTAATGTACCTGGAGATGTAACAATCAGTTAGTGTGGCTCAAACATGACAACACTCACACTTCCAGGCTCAACACTAGTGATCCCAACCTCAGATATATTGAAAGTAGTTGTGTAATGTACCTGGAGATGTAACAATCAGTTAGTGTGACTCAAAAATGATAACACTCGCCCTTCCAGGCTCAACACTAGTGATCTCAACATCAGATATATTGTAAGTAGTTGTGTAATGTACCTGGAGATGTAACAATCAGTTAGTGTGGCTCAAACATGACAACACTCACACTTCCAGGCTCAACACTAGTGATCTCAACATCAGATATATTGTAAGTAGTTGTGTAATGTACCTGGAGATGTAACAATCAGTTAGTGTGGCTCAAACATGACAACACTCACACTTCCAGGCTCAACACTAGTGATCCCAACCTCAGATATATTGAAAGTAGTTGTGTAATGTACCTGGAGATGTAACAATTATTAATTATCTGGCAAACCGCAGGCAACAAGTTTGTTTTAAAAACAGTCTCTCAGAGGTAACGGTAGTCAAAAGTGGTGTACCCCAGGGATCGGTTCTGGGCCCTTTTCTGTTCCTTGTTTTAATTAATGACCTTCCTGTAAATATTAGTTGTAACAAAGTCATATTTGCTGATGACACTACCTTTTTCTGTTCAGGTAACAATATTGCTGAGCTCTGTAATATTATGTCTGATGTGATGGCAGATGGCACAATCTGGTTTGAAGCAAATGGCCTCCTTTTGAATACCAATAAAACTCAACAAATATGTTTTTCCTTGTGCCAGTTTGATGTTCAATCTGATGTAGTTGTAGATTCTGTCGTTAAGCTTTTAGGTATTACTGTTGACACCAAACTTACATGGGATTCTCACATACAGAATGTTTGTACCAGACTATCTAGAGTGATTTCTCTTTTGTGGCATTTAAAGAAGCTGATCCCTAAAGTGTACCTGAAAAATGTGTATTATGCTTTGTTTAATGGAATAATTTCTTATGGCCTTCGTCTGTGGGGGAATGGCCACAGTATTGATAAAGTCTTGCGCTTACAAAAAAAGGCGATGCGTATAATCACACACTCAGCTTTTAAAGCACACTGTAAACCACTCTTTGTCAGCGAAGGAATTTTGACAGTGATTAACCAGTATATTTATGTTTGCCTGTTGCATGTTAAGCAACATCTGCATGAGTATCCACTCAGAAGTAGTGTGCATGGTTATTGCACTAGAAGCATGTCCTCACTCAATCAGCCTTATGTTCGTTTGAGTAAATCACAATCCCAGCATCGCACTATGTATATTAATCTATTTAATAAGTTGCCTGTTTCTGCACATAATGTATCTTTCACTAAGTTTAAGTTGTCTGTTTACAATTGGTTGGTTGCAAGGCCATTTTACAAGCTCGATGAATTCTTTGTATTGCCTGTTGATATTCAATTTTAAATTCTGTCTGTCTGTGATATAGCCAAGGGCTGAGTTGTTTTATAAGTTATTTATCTGTCTGTTTGTTAGTAAATTTTATACTGTTTTCTTGCCCCTGCTATGTTTTTTTCTAACTTATTTTAAACACACTGCATGTATTGTATACACATTGCACCTGTTTTCATGTTTGCTCTAGTCTTTGCATACCTATGTTTTTTATAAACTTCAGTATTTTATTTTTAAGATGACTGTGATACTTTTTGCATGTACTCTGCACTTGTTTATATTTTATTGTCTATATTTATTTAGCCTTATTGCCTGTAAACTTTAGGCTACTATTATGACGTTCATCCATTGCATGTGTTGTACATAGCGTTAACGATGAATACAAATTCTTGATTCTTGAACAATCAGTTAGTGTGACTCAAACATGATAACACTCGCCCTTCCAAGCTCAACACTAGTGATCCCAACATCAGATATATCGTAAGTAGCTGTGTAATGTACCTGGAGATGTAAAAATCAGTTAGTGTGACTCAAACATGATAACACTCGCCCTTCCAGGCTCGACACTAGTGATCCCAACCTCAGATATATCATAAGTAGTTGTGTAATTTACCTGGAGATGTAACAATCAGTTAGTGTGGCTCAAACATGACAACAGTCACCCTTCCAGGCTCAACACTAGTGATCCCAACCTCAGATATATTGAAAGTAGTTGTGTAATGTACCTGGAGATGTAACAATCAGTTAGTGTGACTCAAACATGATAACACTCGCCCTTCCAAGCTCAACACTAGTGATCCCAACATCAGATATATCGTAAGTAGCTGTGTAATGTACCTGGAGATGTAACAATCAGTTAGTGTGACTCAAACATGATAACACTCGCCCTTCCAGGCTCGACACTAGTGATCCCAACCTCAGATATATCATAAGTAGTTGTGTAATTTACCTGGAGATGTAACAATCAGTTAGTGTGGCTCAAACATGACAACAGTCACCCTTCCAGGCTCAACACTAGTGATCCCAACCTCAGATATATTGAAAGTAGTTGTGTAATGTACCTGGAGATGTAACAATCAGTTAGTGTGACTCAAACATGATAACACTCGCCCTTCCAAGCTCAACACTAGTGATCCCAACATCAGATATATCGTAAGTAGCTGTGTAATGTAGCTGGAGATGTAACAATCAGTTAGTGTGACTCAAACATGATAACACTCGCCCTTCCAGGCTCGACACTAGTGATCCCAACATCAGATATATCGTAAGTAGCTGTGTAATGTACCTGGAGATGTAACAATCAGTTAGTGTGACTCAAACATGATAACACTCGCCCTTCCAGGCTCAACACTAGTGATCCCAACATCAGATATATCGTGAGTAGCTTTGTAATGTATCTGGAGATGTAACAATCAGTTAGTGTGACTCAAACATGACAATACTCGCCCTTCCAGGCTCGACACTAGTGATCCCAACCATATATCATAAGTAGTTGTGTAATTTACCTGGAGATGTAACAATCAGTTAGTGTGGCTCAAACATGACAACAGTCACCCTTCCAGGCTCAACACTAGTGATCCCAACATCAGATAGATTTAAGTAGTTGTGTAATGTATCTGGAGATGTAACAATCAGTTAGTGTGACTCAAACATGATAACACTCGCCCTTCCAAGTTCAACACTAGTGATCCCAACATCAGATATATCGTAAGTAGCTGTGTAATGTAGCTGGAGATGTAACAATCAGTTAGTGTGACTCAAACATGATAACACTCGCCCTTCCAGGCTCGACACTAGTGATCCCAACCTCAGATATATCATAAGTAGTTGTGTAATTTACCTGGAGATGTAACAATCAGTTAGTGTGGCTCAAACATGACAACAGTCACCCTTCCAGGCTCAACACTAGTGATCCGAACCTCAGATATATTGAAAGTAGTTGTGTAATGTACCTGGAGATGTAACAATCAGTTAGTGTGACTCAAACATGATAACACTCGCCCTTCCAAGCTCAACACTAGTGATCCCAACATCAGATATATCGTAAGTAGTTGTGTAATGTACCTGGAGATGTAACAATCAGTTAGTGTGACTCAAACATGATAACACTCGCCCTTCCAGGCTCGACACTAGTGATCCCAACCTCAGATATATCATAAGTAGTTGTGTAATTTACCTGGAGATGTAACAATCAGTTAGTGTGGCTCAAACATGACAACAGCCACCCTTCCAGGCTCAACACTAGTGATCTCAACATCAGATATATTGTAAGTAGTTGTGTAATGTACCTGGAGATGTAACAATCAGTTAGTGTGGCTCAAACTTGACAATACTCACACTTCCAGGCTCAACACTAGTGATCCCAACATCAGATATATTGTAAGTAGTTGTGTAATGTATCTGGAGATGTAACAATCTGTTAGTGTAGCTTAAACATTACAACACTCGCCCTTCCAGGCTCAACACTAAGTGATCCCAACCTCAGATATATCGCAAGTAGCTGTGTAGTGTGTAATGTATCTGGAGATGTAACATTTAGTTAGTGTGGCTCAAACATGACAACACAACAGTCACCCTTCCAGGCTCAACACTAGTGATCCCAACCTCAGATAGATTGTAAGTAGTTGTGTAATGTATCTGGAGATGTAAAAATCTGAGTATGACTCAAACGTGACCAGTTCCCCTTGAGCAGGTCCCCTCGTGACATTGATTTTATTCTTGAATAAATTTTTTACTCATAACATGTAATTTCAAATTAAGTTATTGAGCAATTTGTTATATTTTTCAGAACAAAGCTGATATGTATGATCCTCAGCGGTTGATGTTGGAGAATCTACGAGAGTCAGACAACGGTTGGTACACTTGTATGGTGACCACTCCTCGAGGCAAAGACTACAGCAGTGTCTGGCTTCAGGTTGCCGAAGGTATAAGCTTTGTAAACTAAATATTTGTATAATAAAGTAAAATTTGCTGTTTACAATTTTAGAAGATGATTAAACCTGTATTATTGTGTAGTAGGCCTATATAAATTTATCTATAGTATAGCTCAACGCTAATCCAAGGAGTACCTATGTTATTAATCTCATTATTATACAAATTTTCTCAAACATAATTTTTACTGTTTTGTCTCCGTTGAACAACAAAACTAAATGAATTGAATATTAGTGTTTTAAAGTTTAAGTATACAATCACAATGTATGATTTCCAATGTACTCTTGCAGGCGCTGGGAAAAGCACTAGTCACAGTGTTGCCCCTGCAATGGCATTGGTTGATACTGACACCGATGACATCGAAGTGTCAGACAAGGTGGTGATGGCAGGCGCCCACAACTTAACAGGTCAGGACTCGCCGCCTCGCTTCACTAAGATGGACAAGATGCATCGCATTGTAGCCAAGCCTGCTGGCAACATGATGCGGCTCAAGTGTCCTGCAGAAGGTAGGTGTTCTGAGATATAAACATTTTGTGGCATGTCCAAATAAGCAGACTACTCTATCACTCTATTTTTATGGCTGTACAATATTGTAAGTAACTTTTGAGTTTTAGATTAACGAGATGAAATTTTGTACGTCCCATTGCTTACGATTGACTACTAAGACCAGCTGATTCCTTAGCCAAAAACATTAAAAACCCACAGTGACAGCGATAAGAACCCACGGGTCCCTCAAGTTTGTCCACCCCCCTCTCCCAATCATCTTTAAAAACGAATCACAGCTATTTTCTCCTAAGCTCGCACTTGGGTTTGGCACGGTATCTTCCGAGGCACTGAAGTGTCATCATCGTCTTCTTTGATCTCGACAAAATTGTGAATACTTTCTATAGTCATGGAAACAACATGGAAACGATGTTGTAGGCTAGACAACGTTGTTGTCACCCAAGATCGCTACTAGATCTCTAATATCTCCCATGGTGACAGAAACATCTATTTATGCAATCGAGGCAAAATCCTAAATATATCCCACGGAAAAAGATATATGCTACACTATCGTCTTCTGCAATAGCGTCAAAAACTCTTGCACGGTCATGAAAACATCAATATTGCCTTCCACTTCGCAGCCATATCCTGATCGTCTCCAGCGATTGTCTGGAAATCATTATTGTCTCTCGCAATGGCAGCAAAATATTGAACACATCCTTCGGGCGCGGTGACAATGTCAACCACAGGGGAATGTTTTTGTTGACATCTGCGACCACGGCAAAAACATGAAACTTTCAATTGCGTGGACGTGATCCTGTGGACGTGATCCTCGCAGACTGCGGTTGCGATGTTGTCGTGGTCGTAAAAGCTTCGCTTGAGCTCAATTTTTAGATTTGAGCTAGATCTCTCAAGCTTGTAGGCTAGGCTCGTCTCTGCTAAAAAATCGATATTCTCCATTTAAAATCAACACTTAAAGCGAACATATTTTGAACAAAATCGATTTTGGCCTGAGACCCGAATGTAACATTTTTAACCTCACCCAAAGTGAACCAATCTAGTCCGCAGTCCCCTCATAGGATTAGTGAATGAATGGAAATATTTATTAGCTAGTGTTCCAGACTCCTAGGTTTATTCACATATTTGATCGTAACAAAATGGTTGAGTTGATTCAGTTGAAACAGCAGAGGGGCCTCTCTGGTGTGACCCACCGAGGACCCCATCTAAATACAGCCCCATTTAAATACAGCCCTGTTAAAGCACCCTCACGCAGGACAAGAGGGCAGTTGAAGCAACCCGTATGGCTACAGAACATTTTTTGATCTAGGCAGCCTCGGTTAGTTGAGAATTTCTGTCGATCGGTCAAGTAGTGTCAGTTTAGCTGTTGTGAACTACTTGTCCTAGCGCTCATCTTACTAATTTTAACAAATTTTCATCATAAAAAAACGTGTGGTAATATTCTTATAGATATTGTTATGATGTGTTGGGATTTATGTTATATGTTGTGCAGGTCCAGGTTCTGGTAAAATTTACCCAAAAATCCCGTTCAAGGCCCCCTTGCACCACGGGCCCTGAGCGCCGCTGAAGACCCAATGTATTCAGATCAGTTCACAGCTACAACTCCTAATAATACCAATTTATGGCATGCTTTACAATTTTTAACAACTGTTAGCATTGAAGATTTTAGGAATATATACTCTTTTCAATGTTGTTAAGTGCTTAAAGTGCTCGCCTAACTATCAAAAGGTCGCTGGTTCTATCCAGAGAAAAGTCTGTAGTTTTTTGATGGTTTGAAACTGGACCTAGCTGTCCCTTTTCATTGATGGTCCTGACTAATGAAACAGCTGATCTTAGTCAGTAACTAAGCTACACAGGGCATCTCACACCATTCTACACTGATCCTTCACTCATTTAAGTCCAAATACTCACCTAGGTGGCGTCCCCATTCCCCATATAAATTAATTGATAATATTGAAATACTGGCAGCATTAAGTATAAGTGATACTCTAAAGCATTAATGATGTTTTCAGGAAAACTTATTTAGACACAATGCAACATATCCTTCATTCTTATGTTCTTACGATTTCCCTCAAGTCTGTTTAAACACTGTTAACTAAATGTTAACACATTTCTGTAATATCAATTTATAAATTACCTGCCATGTATTTTGCAGGAAACCCGACACCGAATGTCACGTGGTACAAGAATGGCGAGATCCCAGAGAGGAAGCTGGGTCAGGTGAGATATGGACCTTGGTCTATGATTCTGGAGGACTTGGTAGAGTCAGACACAGGCAACTACACCTGCGTCGTCTGCAATGTGTTCGGCTGCGTCAACTTCACTTTCAAAGCAGAGATACACGGTATGCTCTTAACATCAATAGGCCCTAATACAGTTCTAGTGAAGTAAAGTCAAATCAGCAAGTGTTTTAAATGTGATCGTGATTAAAGATGGTATCTGAGCCCATTCTTAAACCTAGAAATCAAATCACCAGAATATGTTATGAAGTACAAATACATGCATATTAATAATTGGTTTTGATACACATTGATATTAACTATGTAAACAAATTTATTTCTTAAACTATAAGGTATGGTATGATGTCAACATAATTAATTCGAAATAACAATCATATACTGTATATTTGTACTGCTATACTACAACTACTGATGTATACTTTCTGGACAGGCCCCGTATGGAAATGTTTATGTTGATTAGTATCTATTCATTACTTTGCTATTTTACAAAATTGTTAACCATTTTCAAGTTGTAGGATAAATATTACAGGTAAGTCAGCATGTAATGTCAGTCGAATGAACTGTTTGCCTGTTTTTTGTTGTATTTTTTAAATTTGAGAATTCCTCACTCATCTTTAAAATCCAAAAGTAGTAATTTCTAATCGTATTGGGCTCGAGACTAAAACATAATTAACATTTAAGATTTTTGTAGAATTCATATTGTTTGTAGATTGTATTGGGACTTAACCTTGATTATGAGTAACCATACTTGGAGTTGAAATTTTGCCAAATTAACAGAACATTTTTGCATAAACGGACTATTTAGAGACGAACAAGCTGAAGAGGCATTGGTTCATATAGGTATAGATAACTAAAATATTTTACATAAAACTGTATTACACAGAAAACTACCAATATTGAAATTGTGCAAAGTACGTCATTGCCGCTTGAGAACTAAAGCTTTGTTCGGCCATACATTTTGAGTGTGCAATCACTGTTTGTACTCGTTATAAACACAAGATTGTTCCTACCACTATAATTAACTTATCATCAGGGCCGATTTACCGAATAGGCACGGTAGGCACTATGCCTAAGGCGCGAGGCAATCGGCTTTTTTAGGGGAAAATATTTTTTTCAAAGATTTGGAAAATAAAAAAAATTGGTAGTTGTATTTGTATGCGATCACGGTAAACTTCTGATAATCCCTCGCGGCCGTGTAGACATCATAATCGTCTCCCGCGTTTGCGGCAAGATTCTTACTATTTTCCGCTGTTGGGTCATTTAGATATAATTTTCGTCTTCCATGATCGAGGCAATATATGAGCATATCCCGCGATCGTGAGGAGATTATCATCTTCTACCGCGAATGAGGCATAATTCTGATCTTTTCCCGTGGTCGTGAGGATATTATCCTCGTCTTGCGCGATCGCGGACAAATTCTGACCACCCCTCGCGGCCGTGAAGACATTATTATAGCGTCCCTCGCGGTTGTGTGGACATAGTAATCACCTCCCGCGATTGTGGCAAAATGGTAATCATCTCCCTCGGTCTTGTGGAGATCATCATCCTCTTCCAGGAAATTAGGCAAAATACCTTTTCCCGCGATTGTGTAGCCATTATCATTGTCTTCCGTGATCGCGGCAATATTCTGATCATCCTTCGCGGCCGTGTAGAAATCATTATTACATCTCCCGCGGTCCTGTAGACATCTTAATCGTCTGTCTTTGTCGTCTAGACATCGTAATCGTCTCCCGCAATTGCGGACAAAAGGTAATCATCCCCTGCAAACATATGGAGATCATCGTCTTCCGCGAATGACGCAAAATTCTGATCTTTTCTTGTGGTCATGTGGCCATTATCATCGTCTTGCACGATGGTGGCATAATTCAATCATACCTCGCAGCCGTGTAGAAATCATTATTGTATCTCCTGCGGTCAAGAATACATGGTACGGCAATCGTCTCCCGCAATTGCTTCAAAATGTTAATTATGCCCCCGTAGTTTTGTTTAGATCATCATCGTCTTACGCAATCGTGGCAAAATTCTTGGTGTTTCTGGCGGTCGTGTGCACGTTATCATCGTCTTCCGTGATCGTGGCAATATTCTGATCATCCCTTGTGGGCGTGTGTAAATATACTATCTTTTCCCGCGGTCACAGACACGTCACTGTTGTCGTGAGCGATCACGGTAAATTGAAAACTCCAGGTAGGAATACAAAATTCACACATAATTCCCGGTTCAAAAAACTCCCGCATGATTCCCGGATTTCGCGGTCGGTGGACACCCTGTTATATATATTGCAAAGGGGCGCTACTATTAGTTGTGCCTAGAGCGCTGAGAGGGTCAAAAACGGGCCTGCTTATCATAATACACAGATTATATTTTTAGCTGTATACAAAATGTCATTTAGGTTATGTTTGCTTTTTCTGTTTGAAATAAGTATAAACTAGATCATCACTATTAGAGCGTTTTGTTTTTTTTTACGCTGCAGTGAAATCAGCTGATTTAATAAGCAGAAACGAATAAAGCATAAATGAGCTATTGTGTACTTTCCCCAGTCATGGCAATGTGAATGTGATCTTTTTGTACAGTGGTAAGAAAAAATATATCATGTTAAATTAAAAATTACAATTTAGAAAACTTGTATGGGGAGTTAAATAATCACTACAGTAATAACTTATTTGCATGAACTAGAGGGGCACTAATAATTTGCCAATATACAAATTAGATACCAACATGTAGAGATGTATTAGAGAGTTTTATATTTATTCCTTTCACAACTTATTTTTTTATAACTTTGCCTGTTAACCTGTCCCTCCCAAAATGACACTAGAGTTTGGTTCATGATTTACAAACAACTTTTGGAGACATAACCTATTATTATTTGGTTACAATTTGTAACCATTGAGATATAGATTATAACTGGAGTCACTACTCTCTGGTTAAACGTTAGAGAAAAACGTGCCACTGTTTTGGCTGGTTTGTTTTTGGTGTATCGTGTTGTTAGGTTGGCCGTGTGATCGGTTGGTGGGATGCTGTCAAATAATTACAATTCATTCTAACCTCACATACTATTTATTTGGGGTTATGTTATCCGTTATTTCAAGGACTTGTATCAAAAACTTATTTAAGTTATTGCACGTTAAAACCTCAGTATTTAAAGTTATTTTGAAACATTATAAATTGTTTTTGTTTGATAGTAAATAAATACTAACTTATTTACCTCTTTTCAAGCTATGTGGTGAAAATAGGCTAGTCAAGTTTCCTGGTTTGGAGATATTGGTTTAGGCCAATAGCCCTGTGGCATTTGATTAAATAACGACCATCGGTTTATGATCTTGTTAAAATGGGTTGCTCTTGCTCGTAAAATAAATAAATAAACTTATATTGCAATCATAATGTTAAGTTGGCAGATATTTGTTTACTATCATCATCAACAAAACAGGATGACGCCATCTTGATTTTGCCTCTAATTTGACAAGTCCCACCAACCCGATCACCCGGCCAACCTAACAAAACGAAACTCTGAAACAAAACCAGCAAAAACAGTGGTACGTTTTTAAAACACAGAGTGGTTACTCCAGTTATTATTATAGCTCAGTGTTTGTAACTTATTAATTTCCATTCTTAGATCCGTAGTAGCAATATTCAATAATTTAAATTGATGGAATTTTGAAAATACCCACTCATAGCAGGTATTTCATGGGATTTATTTAAACAAATTCTATTTGATCCTTCATATGCACTAACTGAAAAATAAAACCTATCGTATTCAATATTTACAAGTCAATGTTTATTGGAACAATTATCTTATACTTTTGAGCAGAAAAAAACATTAGTAGTAGTTGACTATTAGTTGGAAGGGATTTTCACCAGATGTCAGACTGAGACACATGTTGCACTGGTGTATCAACTACCAATACCAGTACAATCTGATATTCAGTACTGTCAGTTTAGCTGGTACAACATCAATTAATTCCCTAATTATGTTGACTCAAATAAAAAAAGCCCATGCATATACAAGCTTGATGGCATGTAGCATAAGCAAAAGAGCAATAAAAACACTTTGTTGTTCTGAGTTGTGTAGTTTGCAAGCATTTGCATGAGTAGAATGTGGTTTGTCTAGAGCGTTTCCCTCACAAGCCCTACATCAAGGAAGGGTTTCCTCTGAACGTAACTGCTCTGGTAAACTCGTCTGTGTCGTTCCACTGTCCGACCTTGTCAGATTTGGAGCCCCACGTTCAGTGGATTAAGGCCGATTACATCCCAGATGATAAAGAGAGTTTGCCAACTGGCACAATAATCTACGAGGTAAGCCTAGGCTAAGAATGATGCTGCCGAAATGCTTCATTAAAACATGTGCTTTATTGTTTCCAGCTGGTCAAACTTTATGTATTAACATTCTACATAATTTTTGTTCATAATCATTTATCATACGAGATATGATTTTGATAAAGCACATGTTTTCATTGAATAGTTATTAACCATAAACTAAGAGCACATGTATTGAGCAATGTCTGTGTTATGTAGAACGCCTTCATCACCGCCCAATCCTGACTGAAGCTCCACAGAACCTAACTCTATTGGTTGGTACTTCGGGCTCATTCACTTGCAAAGTCTTGTCTGATCTGCACCCTCACGTGGGCTGGGCGAGAGGTGTTCTCAACGGTTCTAACCTCACAGACTTTAGTAACTCAGATTTGGTGAAGGTATTACATTGCATGCTGCTTGGGGTGCATCGCTTGTTTCCAGTCTTGAATATTTTTCTCACATCAGCAAAAATTAACAACAACAACAAAAAAATTGCATGCCTGTTTGTTTGCACATTGGTTTTGTTAATTTATACTTATTTATTAATTAACTTGCCTTTGTATAGTTAATTACTAATCTAGTGCTAATACATTCCTCGATGTATTTGTAAAAATTTATTCAAATCAAAAACATTGGTCAATGATCCTCACTAACGATATTTTTGTCTGCAACTCATAATACAAGCTAACAAAGTCAGGGAAATTTACTAAAAACTTTTATAGATCACGTTAATGTTTTGGATGATTCGTTATTTTGAAATTAATGAGATATTTGCTGCAGAGATTACAAAAGCTATGAAAAATCTGCGGTCTATTTGATACTTTGTATGGTCGCCATTTCATTGAAAAGTATTAAAAGTATTTTTACAAATAAGGAGTAAGGGCGGCTTTGGGGATGGATTCACAAAACGTGAAAGTTTGTGTGTTTGTTAGTTAGTTAGTTTGTTTGTTTGAAGTTCAATCACACATTAACTACTGGTCAGATTGGGCTGGAATTTGGCATGATGATAGCTCACATTCCCAATTTTAGACACCCAAGAACATAGACATATTCTTATCTCAAAAATCCTTTCAGGCTCCGCCCCAGTGGCTCTGGAGTTTCCCATATTAACCTTATAGGTATTCACATTTAAAAGGAGTTTAGTATTTTTTCCTACAGTTACCTAACAATGTACATTATCTCTCACTGACTTGAGAAAGCAAAGTAGCCAATTGCTTAACAAGTGAGACAATGTTAACATTGTCAATAATTCAATTTTTTTTTTTGGGTGTAGTAATAGTTCATTATACTATGGTAGATGTGTTATAAGCATGCGGTAAACTAAAAGAATCAAATTTTCTCAAACCGTGTCCTCTCCCAATGCAAACGCAAAGCACGAGAATAACTGCAATAAGCATTTTGTACATATACCCTAACCTCGTATGAAGGTCGGGTATTCTGCTAGTCACCATATACACTATCTTGCCACTTTAAACATTTGGTAAAACATATTTGATCCATCTTACATGTATCTGTTATTTAATACTTTGTAGAATAGTAAAGCCTGTTTTTATTGGTGAAGTGTTTTAACTCTTGGGGTTCTGTATTTCAATTTTTGCCAGTTTTACTTTTGATTTCTTCAGTGCATTCATTGGTAATTTTGTATCTAGCTTTAAATGCTTTAAAATTTCTGGATTTGAATTTTTATAGCTTCCCCTCTCTTATTTCCCCCTGTGCATCAGTGTAAATAAGATTTTTCACCACAAAGGATACCAGGTAAAATATCTTTGTTCAGGGATACTCCCAAATTGCTGAGGGTATAAATACTTGGTTTTACTGATAGTACAGGGTGTTTATGATTAATCAGGTTTTAAAACTGTTTATTTACTGTAATATTGACTAACTCCTGACAAAAACTACATCAATAAAAAGCAAATTTCTTAAATTTTTCTTTCTACAAATTTATTTCTACAAGAGCTCAATATGCCGTCCATCAGCCATGGAACAAGTTTCTTATTGATGTTGTAAATTGGCCAAAACACTGGCTAGCATCGGGATCGGCTGAATGAATCTCCAGTGATGCAAATGCGTTCACCCAGCTCTTGAAGGTTTTGAGGCATTGGTGGTTTATACATTTTGTCCTTAACAGAGTGCAAGAGAAAGAAAATTGCTGCACGTGTATCAAAAACAAACTTGATTCATAATTAAATACACAAACAATTTTCTGTAAACCCCAACTCTCTTTGGCTATGCTGACATTTGTCTGTTGTGAAACAACACCTGGAAGCTATCACTGATTGTGTTTGATTCTCCGCAGCAACACTCTGAAGATGCGGAGGTGTTGGAGATATACAACGTGACTCACGAGGACGAGGGTTGGTACACCTGTATTGCCTCCAACAGTCTCGGAAGGACCGTCGCCAGCGCGTACTTGCGGGTCGTGGATGGTGAGTTCTCATAATTAAGAGTGTTATTGTAGAGGAAATGCAGTATAAGCTAAAGGTCCGCTCAAAATGAAATAGAAAGTTAAACTCTCAACTACACAGGGCAAGTTTACGATGTTCTCCTAGTAAGCTTTTTTTATGAATAGCTTGTAAACTAGCCCAGTATACTTGTGACACTCACTTGTTAGCTGCTATTAAGAAAATCTTAGGAAAAAAATAATATCTCTGTTGATACCACTCACTGGATTTTGCGTGAACTAGATCGTAAACTAGACAAGTATACTTGCAGTTCTTGTCCTTGAGCAACAAGTAAGACTAGACTTGGTAGTCAAAGGAAGTTTCAGGATTTACATGTCATACTCGCTGACAAGCCTGCTTTTTTACTCGCTCGCCAGTAGTTTGTGTACTTGCCTTGTGTAATCGAGCCCTCACTAAGATAGTTGACGAGACATAAAAGATATCATAGTTTGGCCTTTCAGTTTGACTTGTTAAAAAGTCTTGTATCCACCAGAGAATAGTAATTGACATCAGCTCACCTGTTTTGTCAGTGACTCAATTCAAGTACTATTACAAATTTTATTCTAAAATGAGCCACATCTTTAACATGGGAATGGGATGTCCATACTTCTATCAATATTCAACTAGTGTACATGTTGCTCGAAATTGAGCAATCGAAAAGAAGTAAAGTAGTTATTTAAAAAACTTATTTAAAGTGAATAAAAGTCATAGTTTCCGATGAGTTTAAAAGACTCAACTAATTGATTACGTATCTAACAGTTCCATATAATCATCATTATTGTAAATATTTTATCGTTTATAAAAAACTGATCTGGGTTTTTTAGTGTATTCTGCAAATGTTTCCCACTTATAGCCGCATTAGGTTGTCCATGTTGATCTTCGTCAATGTCTCCATGGTAGCCCCCATTGTCGCCAGTACGTTTACAAATTTCAGTCATTTTTTATAGCGATAACATTTGTTTACATTACTTAAGAACTACCTGATGTTCTGAATAACCTCTCTGTCACAATTTTATTTGCTTCAATTGGCATTAATTTGGCTGGTTAATGTCTTCAATGCAAGTTTTATTAAGCTTTCTTGGATGTAGTAATCTTCTTTTAAAATCACTTGACTGTTATGAAAAAATATTAATATCCTTGCCGTACCAGTTTAATTCAGCCTTAGAGGGGTTTCCTTTACCAATCATCATGAAGTTAAGTCCAAAATGGTGGCGTTCTATGACTTTCCTATGTTTCCATGCCTAAAAACCCGGTTTTTTCAATGATTGCTCAAGAAATACAGTACTATGTCAATTCATTTTTCCTATTTGCTAAACATATCAGATTGTCCAGGCTTTCCCGATTTTTACATTTGTACATATATTTACATTGTACATGTCAGCTGTAATTTAATTGCTGTCATCTATATGACAGCAATTAAATTACAGCTGATCAAAATGTAAACAATTATGTTCTTCATAAGGATAACATGGGAACTTCAAAAGCCACTGGGGCAGAGACCAAGGGTCTTTTTCAAAAATGTAAGACCAGTTTGCAAATCTACGCAACCCGCTCTTTCCAATGAGACGTCAATGGATAAAATCGGTTAAGAAATGGAAGAGGAGTTCAACCGACAAAGTTTGATGTAGCGTATTAATTTATTTAGATAGGTAGTCAAACGTTTTATTTGTAAACTCTTGTTGGGTTTTACTGCTGAGTGACCTGTACCTTGAGATGTGTTTGAATAAAAATAAGCTAGTATGTGGCCGAGGATCTGTCTCAGACACATCCTGCAAAAAAATGTGCCTGGAACAAGTTTAAAGGAAGCATACCTTAAGACTGTTCACGTTTTGACATCTATTCCATATTTTTGTCATGGGTGTTTAAGTTAAGAAAAGGAAACATTTTTACAATGTCCTATAGACTCGGTACACTTTGGGTAGTGCCAGGTTATCGAAAATACCAGTATGTCTGGGTAGCCGGGTGGTTATAGTGCTCGCCTTCAAATCTGAAGGTTGCTGGTTTGATTCCATGGGAGATCGTTTCCAGACCCAGATCTCATTTGGCATTGGGGCACTGAGGATCACATTTGTCTGTTTTACTCTTATCTCTTAAACTAATGTTATGCCACTGCAGTTACACTACTAAAATAAGCTTACACTCTCCGATCTTTTAAAATTTAGCATAAAAATTTGTTGGATTTTCAGAACTAGAAGAGCCGCCTATGAGAGTAGTACAGACAAGCCAGCCAACTGCTGTGGTAATCCTAGCTGGAGTACTATGTACCATGTTCCTGCTGGCAATGTGTATCATGGTCAATGTCTTCCGCCGACTCAAGAGGTTTGTAAACTATGGTTATCTTCATTTGGACTGTCTTACTATTGAATATACTAGCGTAGATTATCAAATTGTTGTTCTCTTTGAATCATCTGAAGATGATATAAGGTCTGTTTCTAGTACACTCTAGTACGTTTTGGGGTTCTGTTTATTTCTTGTTACCAACCACCTTAGAGATATTCAAACCTATTTGAAGCTATCAAAACTATTTAAAGCTAAACAATAAAATTCAATCATTGTAGTATCTGGTGAGTCCGAACCTCAGTTGTTAGGACAACAGAATACAAATCTAAGGCAGTGATGACATGGTTTAGCGTCCTAGAGCCAGCCATTACATTCTAACAGTTCACTCTTATACTAGGTAATAGCTCACCCCTTGCTTTGATTGATGAGATCAGCACAAATGCTCGAGGTCTGATGTGGACAGGCAAAAATGTAATAGATGTTGGTCGCACAGGATGATAAATATGTTTTCAGATCAAATAGAATAAATCAATGAGGTATAATAAGAAGCTATTTTTCATATTTACCAGCAGTACTAGTAGTTTTCCTTTTACACTTTTTATACTCCAACACAATAGTTTCTAAGGGTGACGAGCACCAAATCAGTAAAATATACTACATTAGTAAGTGAAACTTCTGTAGTTAAAACACAAGAAGTATTCAACTACAGAAGTATTTTACTACTGGAGATTTGTTTGGAGAGCTCAAGTACAGGATGCTTCTTTAGTTGAAACTTCTGTAGTTTCTGTGAATACTCTGTTAGTTGTGCAGTCCCGCGCAGTACTTAACCTCAAAATATAGGAATACCGCAATATTTATTAGTGTTTTTTGCAAATTAGTATTAAGCTTCAAGAGTTTTGTGTTGAAAATTGTTTTTTATTGTTAAAACCTCCGTGTTCAAATAGTTAATTTGTTTAATTATTTCATTTTCATTTAATTTTATCTTTTTATATTTATTTTTATAATAATTAATTTTGATTATAAAATTAATATTTAAATATTAATTTATAAATACATTATGCGGAGAGAATAAATCCTTGTAAGGTCTAAAACAAAAACGTGGGGCACATGCAATATCTAATTTACGATTATCTTCACAGATTGAATTATTATTAGCTATTTTTAACATCAATTAGGAAATATAGTTGTAAATCATACAGACACGATGTACCTACTGTGTTAATTTATTTGTTTCAAATCGACATCTACCCCCTCTTTATCTATTACATGCGCCGCAGTTTTTTCGTTTTAAATCTTACAAGTATTATTTATTCTCTACATATATTTAAAAATATTTTCTACTTTTTAGGGCGTTTAAAAACGTGGTATTTTAAAAATGTTTTTCATGTATAAATTAGCTTTTACTTTTTTGTTTATTTTGTTTTACTAATTAAACAATAATAATTAATATTTCAATGGTGTCTCTCCTATCACGAACCGTACTGCATTTGGTGCATTCAATAAATAGTCTATGTAGGCCTATTCAGCATAATCCATGGTTAACATAAAAATATAATCTACTGAAATCAATATACATGGTTAACCCTATTTAAAACTAAATACTCCATAACTTACACCTACCAGGGGGTAGGAGTATATTTTAGCACAAATTTATCATTAACTTACTAGTTTAGTACACAACTATACACTGGTGCACACCAACCTTAAATTTTCTCTGAAGAGTAATCTACAATACTCCTGGGGTAAAACACTCCTGAAGTTAGAATACTAAAATAGTGTATGTAGCAAATGAAGTCACTATTTTCCTACTAATTTAGTTATATACTATATTAGTTTGACTTTCTCCTGTTTGGTGCTCGTCACCCTAAGATTGTAGTTTTTAGTTTTATATGTGTTGCATTTGATGGTAATACCTATGTTGTCTGTCATTTCAGAGAAAAGTTAAAGAAAATTTTGGCTATTGAAACTGCAAGGGCTGCAGTTATTACGCAATGGACTAAAAAGGTTATTGTGGAAAAACAAACTTTGGCCAATGACCAAGACCCATCTTTGGTAAGCTTTTTTGGAACGTCTTTAATTTATCATTCAATGAAGTAGATTTATTGAAGTATATTTTTGTTGATACTGAGTTGGTAACCAAAGACCCGTAGTTGCCAGATCAGTCATTACCTATACCCAAGTTTCAGACATAATTGGTTTTTAAATATCTTCTTTAATCAGACTGTATGCCTATTTTGATAGGACAAGGCAGATTAACCAGACTGGCAGTCAGAACATTATTTATTTTGTTAGAGGTGTGCGAGTAGTAAATTTATTAGTCGACTCAAGTTTACAAAGAAGCCACAAGCTTTGAGCTCTTTTTAACTCAAGTTTTCCATAGTAAAGTGAGTGACATGTGTGATTGATTCTAGAATGTCTAGATATATTGCCGAGATCATGGGAGGGGATGCTGATATTTTTGCCACTACATGGGAATGTCAATATAGGCCTACTGCCCCAATCTCAGGAGGCAATGATGATGTCTTCGCAACCGCGGGGGAATGTAGATATATTACGTTGATCATGGGCAATGATGATGATGTGTTCATGGTCGTAAAAGATGCTCTCAATTTTTCCACCCTCACGGGAGAGGTTACAAATTTTGTTGTGATAACGGACTATGATCTTGGTAGGGCCGAGATTACCTATTATTGTCATGATGACATTATGATGCAGGCAGACGTTAGGGGAAGGGGGTGAGTGAAGAAAGAGACCGTATAAAATGAGGGTATTTGCTCTCCTGACCTTGGTAGAGAGGGCACCTCTGTAAGTAGTGATCTAAAGATAGTGATGTACCATATATTACAGTAATATTACAGTATAAAGTCAAACGAGTTTGCCAGAAGTGGCTGCAGCGTTGTTGTGTGAAGATAGTATTTGTCCAGTCTTGAACCAGTCGAGCTTATAGAAATTACCTTTTTAGACAATAAATTCCAAGATTACTATCAAACTGTAAGAAACGCTCACTCTATAAGTTAAAATAACATGTTTCAACTAACTTCTTAGTATCTTCAACTCCCTCTAAATTAATTTATGTATTTTTAGTTGATGCCAGTAGTGAAAATAGAGAAGCAAAAGTCAAGGCCAGGGAAGCTGGACTCTATGGTGTCCGAATACGAGCTCCCTCTGGACTCTGACTGGGAGTTCCCCAGGGATCAGCTGACCATGGGAAAGAGTCTGGGAGAGGGAGCCTTTGGTAAGGTGGTCAAAGCGGAGGCTCAGAGCATCTTGCAACAGGGAATCTCTACGATTGTAGCAGTCAAAATGTTGAAAGGTAATGAAACTGATGAATCCCATGTTAAATGGTTGTCCATCAATGTTTTCCTAATTTTGTAGTTAATTCCTTAAGTTTACAATTGCTGTTTTTTCTAATTTTCAAATCTTTGAATTTGTTAACTCTTCAAGTTGTTGTATTTTATCAACTCTTCAAACTGTTGTTTTGAACCATCCTTTACAATTTTGATTACTCTGTGATATTAGTTTTATGCCTGTTCACTTACAATGCAATTTTTTATAGACCTCAAACGCTCAAACAATTATTGTAACATCTTTTTCAATTTGATAACTGCTCTGATAGCAAAATGTTGACTCATTCAATAAATTGTAAAAGTTGTACCTACTGGAAATAAATCTTGATTCTTGGTTCGACTGAACAACTAATTGCATTCAATGATTAGTGTGTGACTGAAGACCTCGAAGGTCTCTCAGCGTATTTGTGTAAGCTAAGTCTTATTGCCCTGGGGTAAAAATTCAATCAGCGTTGCCGTTTTAAAATATTTCACAAATATAATCTTAATCTGTTACCTTGAGGCATCAACCCAGGCCACACTAAATAAACAGGCCGTAATGCTCCTCTGGCGTGACGTCATCATAGGCGACGGCAATGACGTAAATTTTGATGTTTGTTACGAGCTGCTTGTTTTAATCTTTTATTGGAAAACAAAAATATAACTAAAAAAATAACATTACGTCATTGCCGTCGCCTATGATGACGTCATGCGTAAGGAGCATTGCGGCCTGTTTATTTAGTGTGGCCTTGTATCAACTAAGCTCTTATTGGACCAAGGAAGCTGTCAGAGATACACTCTCAGTTGTTTTAGTCATCGAGTTGAAGACAAAAGCTCGCATTCAGCCTTTGCTATAGGTATAAATAATTCCTCTCGTAACTGAAATATGGGAGTAAAAGTTTGGATGGGCCACATTTCTGTTAAAAACAAAATTTTTTGACTTATGTTTAAAATGACTAATCTGATATTTAATTATTCAATATTTTTCAGAGGGCCATACTGACACAGAAATGATGGACTTGGTATCTGAAATGGAAATGATGAAAATGATTGGTAAACATCGCAACATAATAAACTTGCTTGGATGCTGCACCCAAGATGGACCTCTCTTTGTCATTGTTGAGTTTGCTCCTCATGGAAACTTGAGAGACTTTTTGCGACAGCATCGACCATCATCAGGCTACGAACCTGCTATTGGAGCCAATGAGAAGGACAGAAACACTTTAACTCAAAAAGATCTAGTTTCCTTTGCATATCAAGTAGCAAGAGGCATGGAGTACCTGGCTTCAAGGAGGGTAAGTACTGCTAAGTATTTTTTAGTCTGTTTTGTTTTATTTAGTTCAATCATGCTACTTTGACTGTAAATTTGTTAAGTAATTAAACATGTTCAGGGTAAATTAAAAAGACAATTTCAGGGGGACCAAAAACGGATATATCCAACCAAAACTCAAACTCAAAATCAAAATGATAGAACAATCAAAATACTAAATGTTGTATTAAATTTTACAATTTACTTTCAGTGTATTCACCGAGATTTAGCAGCCAGAAACGTCCTAGTGAGTGACAACTATATTTTGAAAATAGCAGACTTTGGACTGGCGAGAGATGTGCACAGTCATGACTACTACAGGAAGACAACAGACGGAAGGTTGCCAGTCAAGTGGATGGCTCCTGAAGCCTTGTTCCACCGTGTATATACTACGCAGTCAGATGTGTGAGTAGCCATTGTCATTGTGTGAATACTTATAGTATGTTAGTACATAGGAAATAGTTTTTGGCGATTGTTTTTACTTTTGTTAAATTTAGCCTAGAGTGACGTGCTATTGTGATGTTAAACACAATATCATACTTTGATTCTCAAGTGTTAAATTGATAAATTGAGAGAGTTATTTTATATACTTATTTACTTAGTAGTTATAGACGTATACTTACTAGGATACTTGGAGTATTCCCGCTGGTCATCAGCACTGTGGTCATCAGGTTGTTTTTTCCTTGCTATTCCTTTTCTCAGTACAGAAGACTCCCTCTTATCCGGACACCTTTTAACCGGACATCGGTTTAACAGGACTACACTCGGCGGAAATGACATCTCTTTAACCGGACAATTTTTATCAGCACATTTGTTTAACCGGACTATAGAACGGCAGGAAGTGGGCAGTACTGAAACGACTGTTCTCGTGGGAAAGATTTGAGACCAGTGATCACGTGTCTTAATACAATGCTCTCCTAAATTTAAGTCGAATATCACAGTAAACAGTCTGTTTTAACGAGTTTTTGGGGACGTCGGTTTAACCGGAAAACCCATTATCGAGACTGGCCTCGGTCCCGAGGAGTCCGGATAAGAGGGAGAGTCTACTGTACTTATTTCATTTCCTACTTAGGCATACGTCTAGTCTAGAGATATATTTCTTCAATAGTGTAGTAGGTCACTAGATATAAATATACTTGAACGTATTCTTGAAGTCATTAATAAATACTGCCGGAAACATTTTATCAGTACAGATCCTTTGTACTGTACCGGCTCACTCCTTGCTTTGCTGTATACCGGTACGGTCCACACACGGGCGGTTAGTGTATGTGGAAGAGCAAACACAAGGTTAAATACCCCCGTCGCAGCAAACCTGACAACTAAGCGAATTTCCATTTGTCTGAATTGATTTTCAATTAAATATATTTAAATAACATTATAGGTTGAGTACCTAGGTTTGTTGCTACAAGGAAACTAATAAAGTGTGTTTTTTAGTAAAATATTAATAGCTTAGTACAAAATAAATAAGTTTGCCAAGTTTGATCAAAATGTATCCATAAACAACCAAACTACAACATTTTACAATATTCTCCATAAGAATAACATGGGAATTTTAAATTTACATTTTTTTTTATTTTCTCCGTTACCAATAACCGTACTAAAATACTTTTATATACTAAATTATTTGTTTTTTTAAGCTCTTTAAAAAGGTTTAAAGAGAAATTGGGGATCAAAATATATCCATAAACAACCAAACTACAACATTTTACAATATTCTCCATAAGAATAACATGGGAATTTTAAATTTACATTTTTTTTATTTTCTCCGTTACCAATAACCGTACTAAAATACTTTTATATACTAAATTATTTGTTTTTTTAAGCTCTTTAAAAAGGTTTAAAGAGAAATTGGGGATCAAAATATATCCATAAACAACCAAACTACAACATTTTACAATATTCTCCATAAGAATAACATGGGAATTTTAAATTTACATTTTTTTTATTTTCTCCGTTACCAATAACCGTACTAAAATACTTTTATATACTAAATTATTTGTTTTTTTAAGCTCTTTAAAAAGGTTTAAAGAGAAATTGGGAAACTTTGTGTTTTGAGGGTCAAAAGTGAGAAAAACCAATTTTTACCCCATAAAACCCCCCATAAAGCCCTGTTCCCATGGTCCGATCATGCTGGTTCGCGAACTCATTCAAGTTTATCCCCCTTTACACCTTTAAACCAAATTTCATCAAAATCGGACAAAAATTACTCAAGTTATCGCGTTCACGGACACATATATATATAAATCTATATATATATATATATATATACACGGCCGCGCCCGGGAAGCCGGTCACATAAAATATACACTGGAAGTCAGTCAGTTGCACCCCCCAATATATTTCAAGACTATGATATATATATAATATATATTGGTAAATATCATAAGCCTAGACACTTCTGAACGTATATATCCCGTTTTTTCTTAAAAATACTAAAATATAATTACGTAAAAACTGCTATGCTAATGCAGTCACCACCGCATTTGCATGGGAAAGCCAGTCACGTAAAATTTGTGCTGCTAAGCCAGTCACTATATATTTTACAGCATACCACTGGAATCCAGTCACTGAAAATCCGCCGGGTATCCCGTCACTTCAGCCAATTTCACCCCTGTCCTTCTACTTTGTAATATTTATTTGTTATACAAGCTTGAAAATCCGCACCTCAAACAAACGGATTATGCTTCAAGCTATGGGCATTCTCCTAACCAATCTTTCGCACTTCATTTTAATTAGTTGTCTTCCAGATTACTTAACAATTACTATTCTACAGATTAAATACCTAAATGCCAATGTAATCTTTGGTCGACTTAATGGCGATCGTCCTGCCAACTGTGTATACAAATATGTACCGAGCTAATTCGCAAGCGCAAGGTTGGAAGTTATTGCTTTATAGTCGCACAAGTAGGCCTATTGTTGAGTCCTTGGAGGCAAGCGGCCATCTTGGATAGTTTCAAACAGTTGCAAAATTTATCGTCCAAAAATATTTTTTCAAACACAAACATGTTTATAATTTAAATATCTAGTATACCGTGGGATTAGAAATGTTCTTTGTAGTTTTGAATTATTCTCCAATGGAGTCGATAAAAAAGCTAACGGTCACGGTCATCTTGGAAAAAGGCCAACTAATACGAAAACAATATCCTGTGTTGAGCGGGCCGTAACACACAGATAGTTTTCACGCCTCAAACAATCGAAGGTGGGTGGAACAAGGCAAAATTCTTGACTGTCTTGTGGCGAGAGGCAGGGGCGAGACTAACGGGTTCCATTGATGGGCTACCCGGCTACCGACCGACCTGGGGTAGCGACTAGCGAGCCACTGGAAGGTTCGGCCGGTTATTTCCAACTTATTGCTGGTTCTCGAGCTTACTGAGCTCGTTGTACAGTGAAATCTCACTTCCCTATTTTATATAGCCACAATCAAAGCGATTTTTACAAGAAAGAATGAAGATATAGACTCAGTGATGTGTGGTTACACAATCAAGTCATGTTCGTTGATTGTTTATCTTTTTATAAGAGCCAATAATCAATCAACTTATTTACTTTATTTTTGGATTTATTATCTATATTAATTCAAGAGGTAGCCCTGTACCTGGTTAACACATATACCGATTACTTTAAAAGTGTTTTCTTTGAGTTACGCCCTATAGGATTCTAAAGTTTCACAATGTTTACATTTTTGAAGAATGTAGATAACAGAATTATAACGAAGTCAGCTGTAAATGCAGTTCTTTGGTTTTATGGTCCAAAAGGTACAGTAGAAACTATTCGAATTGTGAAACTTTTAATTTTTGCAACGAGCCTGTTAATTATTGGAGATTGTGGTGTGACTTTCTAAATTTAAGGAAGTAAACGTATTAACATGACGTGTTTGGAGTGGGATTTGAAATATGTGACGTGTATCAAACTTTTTCTCTTCAGATTCCTCTCCGATGCAAAACACGGGTACGGCAGCTAGGTTTATTAGAATTCAAAAGTTTTTTATGATTAAAATTGTCCTCCAATGTTTACAAATTATTTTCTGATCAAGTTGTTAAATAAATAAATAATTGTTTTGCCTAATTATGTTTCGAAACCAGGAACTAAAAATAGATTAGGAAATAGATATTTTAGTCCAGAAAACAATGCCAATCAAATAGGCCTACGTACTTTTTAAATAAAAATACTGGTCGGATGGTTTGTAACTTTGTTGTTTATTTACTTCAATAAATTTATTATAAAAATCACCACAGGTACAAATCTATATTAATAAAATTAGAGTTTTGTATGTACATTGCTCAGAATTATCAATTTTTAGGTTATTTTTACGTTTTATACATTCAAGAATCCCAAAAAAGTCTCATCTCAATTTCTGTCCGTCTGCCTGTCTGTCTACCGTCTGTCACGGACCAAAAGCCATTTTACGTGGCCTCCTAAAAAACGAGAGTAGGCCTACCTATCAAGATCCGAATCATTTTAATGTATTCACTGGATTGGCAAAAGTGGCTTTAGCTATTAAAATATGACCTCACTACTTTGTAAAAAACTTACGGACGTTTAAAAACCCAATTTTATGCAATTTTTGACAAGTTTTCTCACAATGTTTATCACATAACCATCTATGAAATAGCGAACAGCTGTTCGGATCAAGATTATTTTTCTCTAGCTGTCACTGATATGTTTACATTGAATTTTGTTTACAAATACCGCAATAATTTCCGATTACGTTTCAAAATTAAACCCAAACCAAGTTGGATTAAAACCGTTTTTCCTTACATGACAGATTTAATTAATCGCAAGTACAATGTAACCGTAAATGAAAATAGAGCTTCTTTGTGTATAAAATTTGTACTGAGTTTTGATAACCGGGGAAAAGACCTTGAATCAGTGTTTTATATGACTGGGAAACTTACATTTTTTACATAAGCGTTACCAATAGCTTACATAAAAGGTTTCAACTCATTGACGGCACTTCAATGGTGGTTGTGTAAAGTGTAAAGTGACAACTGCAGTGGGTGATTGTAACAGAGGTTTACGGATTATGCTCAAATCGCTTTTCCAATGTGTCTTCTCAACGCTATTTGCTCTCGCTGGACCATACAGCCAATAGACCAATTGCCCATCTCTTGGGTTCGTAGGCCTAAATGCCAAAAAACCATATGTTAAAACAATACTTTAAACTGTCCGTGCGGTACTCAGTGTTCCGTACGGACAGGACAAGAGCACCCTTGATAGTGAAATTTCCAACCTGAATGTTTAATGGCGAGGTTGAGGTATAGTATTTTAACTCAATAATAACTCAATAACTCAATAACTCAATAACTCATTTATTTAGCAAGATTAACATTACAAATGCATTAGCCAAGTCAAATTTACTAAAAATAACTATTAACTAACTTTTAAAATAATTAAAATTAAAATTCATT